GTCACAATTCACCGTTCACTATCCAGATTATCTCTACATTTTTGTGCGTCTAAAATCTGCAGCATCCCCATACTATGAATATCAGTCTATTTTTAATGCTCAGTCACGTTTGCGTACTTTATCTACCATTAATACATACATACATACATACATACATACATATATATATATATATATATATATATATATATATATATATATATATATATAGCAAAAGGTATTTTTACTTTTTTTCCTATTCCTAAGCTCTGACGTCATTGTTCTCTTTCAACCACTCATCTGAAATTTAATCTGTGTCTATAGTTAGGCAAGTAGGATATATATATATATATATATATATATATATATATATATATATATATATATATATATATATATAGATAGATAGATAGATAGATATGTGTGTGTGTGTGTGTGTGAATATTTGGACGGATTCCTGGCAGCAATTGCGCCTAATAAATTAACCGAGTGATTTTCTGATTATTTAAAAGAAATCATCAAATTCAAAAGTGCAAAGGACACAGCGAGATGAATATCAGAACAAAAACGCGATTCAGTTAATCGTTCCGAGTCATCAGATTTAACCCGATGTGTAGAATAACAGGCATACAAAAACAGGAATAAAGCCCTGAGATTTTTGGACGTGGCTAATTGTGAAACATTTGATCCCAGGTCGTCCAGATAGCATTTTCCAATTGTTTTAAGTTATGTTTAATCAGGAGTTCGCCTTCATATGTACAAAAAAAAAAAATTGAAAATTTTTTGAGATGACAAGCAATAAAATGCTACCTTTAATAGTGCCGTCGTTCAAATTGAAAAATATATGCCTTTCATCCATAGAAAGATATCCAACAGTTGAAGAAGAAATAATTCCCAAGACTGTGGAAATTGTCAAGCGTATGTCCTGTTTTCAAGAACGTGGGTACACGATCTTCCCACTCCCAGTACAGATCCGTCAGTCTCCTCAATATCATCAATAAGCTTTTAAAGACTACTATCAACAGGAAGATCGTCTAGCACCTAGAAAAAACACCTCTTCAGCGACGAGCAATATGCGTTTCGGTCGGTCCTATACACTGCCAACGTCCTAACTACCATCACTCACAAAATCATTGAAGCTCTTGACTGCAAACGCACCTAGAGGAACATAGCATAAGATTGATACTTCGACCTTCGACAAGATGTGGCACAAAGGCTTACTGCACAAGTTGTCCAGTTATGTAACAACTGGAAGGGTCTTCTCGAAAATAAAATCCTTCCTAATAGTCAGGGTCCTGAAGGTATTAATAGCCAGTTCTCTGAAGCCTTAGAGGTCAAAACAGGCGCCACCAAGGGGTCACTCCTCGGACCAATCCTCTTTTTGATCTACATAAATTATCTACCTAAAAATATACACAAGCATATGATAACATCTATGCCGATGATACGAATATATACGGGCTCACCTATAAAACTCTCGATAGTCAGAGATTGTCGACTGATCTCTCTTCCGATTTTGCAGAAACTACCCTGTCGGGTAAAAACTAGCTGATTACATTCAATGTCTCGAAGACCAAGTTTGTTACATTCCAATCGCCGATCTGACACGTATTGCAACAAATCAAGATCAATGGAGATGCTCTCAGGGAAGCACCTTGCCTTGAAAGACAGTTGGGCCTCAAGCTCACACTTGATCACAAGTGGAATTCGCACATACGATCGATTGCTAAGAATGCAGGTATAACGGTCGCCTCACTGTACCGGCCCAGTAAGTACCTGACTCCACCTTTTTACAACAGCCAGATCTGGACATAAAGTGGAGTACTGATGTCATATTTGGGTGGGAGCTGCCGAGAAATAACTCTCCAGCCTTGATCGAGTTCAAAAGCGTCTCCGAGTCATTGTGGGTGACGCATTATTCTCCACCCTTAAAACCTCTATCTCATAGGCTGGATGTGGCAAGACTATCGGTGCACTATCGCTACTTCCATGGCAAATGCTCGGTCGAACTACATTCTGTGGCAAACCTTCACGGCAAGAACACGACATGCCACATACATAGTAGCAAACCATCCACATTCTCCCCATATTCCATGGTCAGAAGCAAGTTCCACTCGAGCAGCTTCTTCCTGCGAACCAGTTCCCTGTGGAACCAACTCACAAAAGGATGTTTCCTCGATCATTACAATCTTAATCTGTTCAAGATTAGAGTTAATCACCATCTTCCACTCCTAAACACACACATTGCCTCCAAATATAACCCTTTACATCGTGTGACCCCCGGGCCTTGTAAAAAGTAAACCTTACTATAATAAAAAAAGATCTGACGAAATATCATATTTTAGTACTATTTAATTAATAACAACATATGTGTGCGGTTTGGGTCTAATAATATGGATGAGTAAGACTAAATGCAACATTCGCCTTTTTTAAGCTTTTTTTTATATTATTTTTTGTTACAGATCGTTTCCTTGTGAAATGAACAATATACGCGTAAAGCCAAGCACGACATTTCATTCGGTCAAGTCGGTTCAGTGTGTGCACAGAAAGTGCATTTGCAGTTGGCTGAAAATTAATATCTATTGCATAAATGGCTACATCTTATTCACCACACTTACTGCGCAACATGTTTAACATTAAGAAGAAGCTAATCATTCATTCCAGAGGTTCCCAAACTTTTTGTATCATCACTCAGTTTTACAGTGGAAAAATGTTGCTACTGGTTCGTAAACTGACTTTACCAAAGAGAGGTAACAAATAACACTGACTTATGCTGCGGCTGCTGCTACTATCGTATTAAAGAACAAATTGAAAGCAAGCTTGATCATTAAAATCTATATAGAAAATACTAAAATATTTCTTGTTTGCGAGTATATTAATATCTTATCTTGTAATGTGACCTAGCAATTCTCATTTAACAAACTTTTTTGGGGATGAAAGGGGTTGTTAATATAGCTTGTTTGCATGTCTCCTTTTAATATTTTTTCGGGTAGCATATGTTGAAATACCTATTTAATACTATATTTCCAACTAAAATTTCCAATCGTCTACCATTTTCTGTTCGGTTTATCATCGCCCACCCAACAGTTGAAATCGTCCACCGGTGGGCGATATCGCCCAGGTTAGGAAACACTGATCTATTCTATTCTATTCGTTCAATCTTTTTTTCATTTTCTCTTTTGAAGGGACCGTGAACCTTGTCCCTTCCTTGTTCAACAATGGGATATGCGTGGTTCGTAATTAAAGGAAATTGACGAAAAGCTTTTAGTTGTTTCTCTCCCTCTCTTTCTTTCTCTCTCTCTCACTCATTCACTCTCACTTTCTCTAGATTATAAATATTACACAAACGACTGATAATGTGACACATGAATCAAAAATTGCATAGAAAAAGGGAAAGAGGCTTTCCAAAATCAAGCAATGGTAATTGTACACTATTTACATTATTCAAACTACTGTCCTCATCTATGTAGCCATATTTATCACAAGCTTTCGGCCGTTGTATGCTCCGGCCTTCTTCAGGTGATTTGAATGCCGAACTGAACCCTTTATTTCGCTCACTGGGGTTGACTGTTGTAGTTCCACGTGCTATGGCTAATGGTTGTCAGTTATCAGTTATCTCCGGTTAATTCCTCTCTCCAAGTTCACCACAGCCTTAACCAGGTATTGATCTCACATTTTTTTGGTCCTGTCACTGGATCTAACTAACGCCTTGAGGACACATGGCACAGTGGATAACGTTGTGATAAACATGATGACAAAGATGTACAAAATAGTCCGAATAATGTAATTAGTGTATATAATACCTCAATTTCAAAAATATAGACAGATGGTAATAGTAATGTTAATATTAGGCGTTTCCCTACAAGGAAACATTTGGCATTCATTGACCGAGAAACCAGTAATGTTTTCGGAATTTGTAAAAGTTTCCTTTTCAAACATTTTTTTTTAGGAAATCCAGAAGTGTTATCGATCTTTTCCAGCATTTCATTTGAAGTGGTGAGGAATATTAGGATGTGCGTTGTGGTGTGATCTAGAACGGCTCAGAATGCGACGTTGGAGGGCTGAGTTCGAATTCCAGTCGTATTAGTTACATTCATTTATACGCGAATACCACTGAGAAAGGCATGAATGCATCTCTTCTCCTTACCAGCTATGGACAGAGTATAGTTTGGTTGGCAACCAGTCTACCGTACAAAGAAACGACAATGTGGGAAAATCTTCTGCCTAGTCAGTCATAAGCGTGTATCGCGTGTTACTCAACTGAAGGAAAGTTAGGATCTTGATTATGTTAGTGTTTTCTTTTCTATTTACATGTGCTATCCGTTTTAGTTGTTTCCGCTGCTGGTAGTTTTCAAGTGATGTGTTTTTTTGTTTTTTTTCTTATTTCGTACAGTTCTTTGTTTGTGATCCTGTAGCGCCAGTCCTCAATGTTCGAAGAAGGATGACGTTTGCCAAGACGCTCAGGGTTTACTCGCTCAAAGCCTTCTTCTAACAATTGAGCTTCGAAATATTTCTGAGATGAGGTATTATTTACATTATTCGGACTATTGTCCTCACCTTTGTCGCCATATTTATTACAACGGCCGAAACGTTGTAGGCTCCGACCTTCTTCAGGTGGTTGGAATGTCGAACTGAACCCTTTATTTCACTCACTAGAGTAGACTGTTCTAGTTCCACGTGACATCTTTAAAAGAATGCTATAAATACCATGGGTAGAGTATTTTGACTATGAGGAAGTTTTAAGGCAAATAAGAATGAAAAGCACAATTATTGCATGAAGACCATGCAATCGGTACTCGAGATAATCACAGCGAATATAACACGGAGAGCGTCGTGAAAGGTCGGAGAAAATGATATAAATAGTATTTAAATATAATCCAAAAGAGACTGAATTAAGGTGTTTGTTTAAGTATACAACGTAAGATCTCCTCTGATTAGCCACCAGATTGCGTCTAGGCCACGCAACCGGTTCTTGAGATATTAAAAATGTCTATTTTTTTTTTTTTTGAAATGGACTTAAAATGTCTGTGAAATTTTGGTAATCGGTGTTTAATAATCATGCAGTGGTGTTGTTAATCATATTGTAGTGAGTCTAAATTCTTTCTTTTTTTCTTTCTTTCTTTCTTTCTTTCTTTCTTTCTTTCTTTCGTTCTTTCTTTCTTTCTTAATGTTGCGATAACGATGAAAAGCGTCTGGTCGCGGCTATTGCAAGCTGTCAACCGAAATACAATTTTTTTAAAATAAGGAATGGAATGTGGCGCCGTTTGCTTGTAGAAAGCCTGTCGCCAAAATGCGAGGTTTATGGAAATCTGCAGATCGACGCCCTTTTTTTCTATTGGTAGTTTCTTCAATCAACAGATCAGATGGAAATGCTATCATCGCAGGCACAGAAAAGAAAAGAAAAATAATACAAAGAGAAGAAAAAAAGAATGAACCGCGGAGGAGAGTAGGGAGGAGAGTGTGTGGTGGGGAAGAGAAACGAAGTGTGTCTTTCATCATCTTATTTTTGTATCAAAACACACACACACACACACACACACACACAAAAAAAAAACCCACAGTGGGGTATTGGGAATCTTAGATGTGAATATCAGTGATTATTTTTACACAACAGAACGGAATTCTTCTTTTGTTCTTTTCTTTTTTCTTTATTTTCTTCATTCTGTTTTCTATTGTTTTCAATTAGGTTTTCTTTATCTCTCTCTATAAAAGGCAGGATGTGTGTGTGTGTTTGTGTATGTGTGTGTATGTGTGTGTGTGTGTAACGAATGCACGGCCGCAATTTTCGACGGATTTGCACCAAAATTTACATGCACATGCTCCAAGTTAGCGGCAAGGCCAAGACCGACTTTGCATTTCCCAACTTCCATCGATAGTGGAAATAATCGATTTTTTCATGCTTCATCGGCAGTTTTCATGTAGTTTGCGGCCATTTTCTACTGGCCAGAGTGAGAGCATATAGCTGGCTGCCACGAATAGGCAGGAAGTTTCTATTGGCCAGCATGAGAGCCAACAGCTGACTGACACGAATGTTAACTAGCATGCTAGCACGCAAAAAAAAAATCGATAGCTGCATTCGTCACAAGTGGGGAAAATTTAAATCTGCCTTGCACTTTACTCCAATTAGCTCATTCGCTTGCTTAAACTCAACGTTGATTCTGATTCCGCAGAACTGGATTTGGGTGTGAAAAAGTATTTGTTAACATTCTTTTTTCATTCGGTTTTTCCAGTTACGAGTCATTTTTTAAAGCTGATCGTTTTGTGTTCATTTTGTTTAGTTCTTTTTTCGTAAAAGATTTAATGTTTAGTATAGAGCTTAGAAAAAATTCACAGTGTGAGATAGGCAAGAAGTAAGGCATGTAGCAACATCAGCACGGCAAAGGGCATACCTTTAAAGGCAAGGAAGGGCAAAAATATTTTAAGTCAAGTGATAGCGATTGCTGTATGAGTCGTACGATTTTTGAATCAAGCACGGGCAACGCCGGGTCATGCTGCTAGTTTTTACTAATTTCCTACCATTTTTCTATATTCTTCACCTTTTGTCTTTTTCTTTTTTTCTTACTGTCTCCTCATTCTCTTTTGTTTTTCTCTTTCCTCTCGATTTCTTTCACTTGCACTTTACGCTCTTTTCCTTTACTTAGGTTCTTAACTCTTTTTTACATGTTTCTTTCTTTCTTTACTTCTTTCTCAATCAAACTCTTAATTTTGATGTTTATCTATTTTTAACTCCTTTCTCTTACTATCTATTTTTCTTTCTTTCTTTCACTTGCATTTTACTCTCTTTTTCCTTTTCTTAGTTTCTTATCTGTATCTTCCTTCCCTATGTCACTTTCGTCTTTTTTTATACGAAGACAGTTTTATTTTCTTTCTCCATCATCCTCTTTCTTTCATTTTTGTTTCTTTTTCACCTTTCTTTTACTGTCCATTTTTCTTTCTAACTTTCTTAATTCCTTACTTTCATTTTGTTTCCTTCTCCTTCTTTTCTTACAATCCATTTTGCTATATTTTTCTCTTTCCTTTTTCTTTCTTTCTTTCTTTCTTTCTTTCTTTCTTTCTTTCTTTCTTTCTTTCTTTATTCTACCTTTTTCATTTTTATTTCTTTTTACTGACCAATTTTCTTTCTTTCTTTCTTTCTTTCTTCTCCATCACTTACTTATTTTTGTTTCTTTTCTTCTTCTTTTCGTTATTATCTGTTGTTTTTTTGTTTGTTTGTTTGTTTGTTTGTTTGTTTCTTTCTTTCTTTCTTTCTTTCTCCATCACTTACTTTCATTTTTGTTTCTTTTCTTCTTCTTTTTCTTATTATCTGTTGTTTGTTTATTTGTTTGTTCGTTTCTTTCTTTCTTTCTTTCTTTCTTTCTTTCTTTCTTTCTGTCTTTCTTTCTTTCTTTCTTTCTTTCTCCATCACTTGCTTACTTTCATTTTTGTTTCTTTTCTTCTTTTTGTTATTATCTGTTGTCTGTCTGTTTCTTTCTTTCTTTCTTCCTTTCTTTCTTTCTTTCTTTCTTTCTTTCTTTCTTTCTTTCTTTCTCCATCACTTACTTTCAATTTTGTTTATTTTCATATTTTTCTTATTATCTATTCTTTGTTTGTTTGTTTATTTCTTTTTGCTCTTATCTCTCTTGTTTCTTTCGCCATTATTTGTTTTCGTTTCGTATTTGTTTCTTTCTTTTTTTCTTCTGATGCAATGCCTGCACTTCTTTTGGTAATAGTAGTGCCGGTCAAACGCTATAAGAACGAACAGAAAATTTTGTATTTAAGTGAAAAAAATTAATCAAGTCCCAGTGTAATTTCTCCACTTGCCGATATACATTTTTCTGTGTTGCTCTACTTTGAGTTTTCTTATTCAACCTGTCCATGACACTATTTATTTTCTTTCCTTCTTTTTTTCCTTACGTCATTACTTCCTCTTTTTTCATTGGTTGTTTCATTTTCTTCCTGTTTCTGTCGATTCTTTATATCTTACTATCACTTTTTTCTTTCTTTGTTTTTCTTTCTTTCTTTCTTTCTTTCTTTCTTTCTTTCTTTCTTTCTTTTCATCAGTTTTTTCCTGCTTCTTTTATTAATACTTCCATCATATTTCTTTTTCCTTCTTCCTTTCATTCCTTCTATTTTTCCCTTCCCTCTTTTTCTATCCAATTTCTTTCTTTCCTTTCGATTTTCATTCTTTTATCATATTTTTAATACATACAGGGTACGATGGGTAGATTGCCGCCATTTTATATTCTTAGCTTCGCGCATGCGCGTTGTTTGTTTTTGATTTTGTAGATTGCACAGTATAGTAGGGTCAGTTGGGCACCGTCTGGAAGAAAAAGGACACCATGACGTAATGAAACTCGCCAGACATTTGGAAACGGCATGCTGTAATTCTTGGCATTCGAGGCCAGGAACTCCAAAACGGACATTTCAGAGTGTTTGGATGTCAATCTGACGACAGTACAGATGATTCTGGAGGAGATGAATGAGTTTAACGGTGATTACGAAGATACGTCAACGCGGAAAACTCACTCTGTTCGTTCTGATAAGAAAAGAACTCCCGAATTTGCTGGTAAGGGCCTCCGACACGTCACGGAGGCATACATGAAGTGTCTTGAGATGGAAGTGCCGCCCTGAGTCAAGAGGGTGTCTGCTGGAAGATCCTATGTCTGGCAACAGGACTCTGCACCATTCCACAGAAGCAGGAGAACCCAGTCTTGGCAGTCAGACAATTTTTGCGACCACATCACATCTTACATCAGGTCACCTAACTCCCTAGACTGCAAACCTCTTGATTATTATGTGTGGGGCGCAGTTGAGCGAGAGACCAACAAAGCCTTTTGTAACGCTAAAGATGAACTGAAGGCAAGGATTATGGCTGCATTTTCCAATTTAAATAAGGTCATCCAGAAGGGATGCAAGAGGTTCCGAAGCCGTCTGGAGGCTGGAGTTGAAGCCAATGGCTTTTTTTCATTGAATACATTTACTCTTTAGAATCTCAAGATATTTTTGTGTAATTTGGATAAATACATCTGTTAATGAGATGTCAATGATATTTTCATTTTTTCATAATGTAAACGACAATTTATCCATCGCACTCTGTATATTAATTTTGCTATTACCCTAAATGTTTTCTTTCGCATTCTTTATCGCCAAAATATTTCTTTAATATTTTATTTTTACTTTATGAAATATCATTTTTTCCCAGTGGACTCTGGGAAAGTTAACAGGTTGCGCGTTTTTGTGTATTTTAGGTGAAGATGCGGGTTCAATATGTAAACAAAGCAGATAGAAGCTTATAAAACCTGAATTTCTACTACAAACGTTTATTCTTTTTTATGGTAACTGGGGGAAAACAAGGTTCCTTTTGTTTCTTTGATATATCCGTTCTCCTTTTTGGTGCAAGAGTAAGTTAACACTGGTTTAAATGATCAAGCACAACTCGGCCTTGCGCAGAGTTTGAACACCTAAAGGAAAGTTTCTGTCTATATCTCTGTGATGAGGTATATGATAACTTACATTATTTATATTATTCGGAATGTTATCCTCATCTTCACTGACATATTCCCAACGTTTCGGCCGTTGTATGTTGCGGCCTTCTTCAGGTGATTGGAATTTCGAACCGAACCCTTTATTTCGTTCAGCGGGGTAGATTTTCTAGTTATACGTGCCATACCTCTACTGGGTGTCTCAGTAATTTCCATTTAACTCAAAGTTTGGTTCACCACTGATGTGGCCTGGTATTGGTATATATATATATATATATATATATATATATATATATATATATATATATATATATATATATACATACATTGGTATCTTGGCTTTAACAATAGAAGAGTAGTAGCGATAGCTTAGTGGGGAGTGTAAAATTGTATGCAAAGAAATCCAGCATTGAGTATATTTCTGCTGCTAGGAAAGATTTCATTTGAATATGCTTACATAGAAGCACGTTCCTGAAACACACACACATATACACACGCGCGCACACACACACACATACACCCCTGACACACGCATATACACAGACGCACACACCCCGACACACGCATATACACAGACGCACACACACACACACACACACACACACACATATATATATATATATATATATATATATATATTTTTTTTTTTTTTTTCTTTATTTCTAATTCTAATTTATTATTTCTTTACTTCTGTTTTATTGTATTCGTGCTATCTTGAATAAATATTTTTTTTTTTTTTACTTTTCATATAATCCACTTCAGGTAATACTTGCAAACCTTGAGTTACTGGGTGTCCAATTCTTCTCTAATTTTCACCATTTTCTTTAAATTCTTATGTGTTTACTTACATGGCGTCAATTCATTTCGTTCCGTTTCCTTTTTTTCTTCATCTTCTTTTATGTTTTCTAGTTTGATTGTTTTTACCTTTTTCCTTTTTTACCTCTATATAACACAACGTTCGTTTTCCGCTTTATCCAGTTCTTCTTTTGCACAACAGTTTCCGTTTAAGGCATTTTTTCTTTTAATTATACAATCTTCAACATTTTTATTTCGTATTTCAATTTTCTTTTCAAACCTTCCCTATTTGTATCACTTATTCATAACTCATATATATATATATATATATATATATATATATATATATATATATATATATATATATGTATACATATATATATATATATATATATATATATTTATATATATATATATATATATATATACATGTATATATACATATATATATATTTATATATATATATATATATATATATGTATATATATATATATATATATATATATATATATATATATATATATATATATATATATATATATATATATACATATATATATATATATATATATATATATATATATATATACATATATATATATATATATGTATACATATATATATATATATATATATATATATATATATATATATATATGTATATATATATATATATATATATATATATATATATATATATATATATATATATATATATATTTTATATATATATATATATATCTTTTTTATGTGGATTTTTTGCATAATACCGACACCGTTATTCTTTAAACCGCAGGTATTTGACATAAGGATTAGATGATGACAGATCGAATTTGGTAAAAGTAACAACTTGGATTACTCGAAGGATAATCCGTAAATGTATAATAAGCATAACATTGTTATTTAATCAAGGCTCTGAATGGCTCTAGTCGATAAAAGAGAAAGGGTTTCAAATATTCTTTGCAATAGATTTATTATTATTTATTTCGGGCGCCTAAAAATATGTATATAAACTTATCAGATATTCTACACGAGTGCTTCCCGGAGTCTCAGTCACAATTGTCCTCTTGCTACCCATAGTCTTCTCAATTTTCTCACTAATTTAAAATGAGATGACGTAATCTAATAATTTTCCTGCCGTTTATTTTATAGTGGTAATTATTCAAACTATTTATTAAGCCAAATAGCTTTATTATGATGCCATTAAATTAGAAAATACAAGTTTCCATATAGCTTAAAACTTACCACACTTGTTAAAATTGCTTCTCTGGTTAAAATAAAACTGTTTGCCTGGTTAAAATTCTTCTCCCGGGATAAGATTCTTCGGCAAACTAAAATTGATGCCCTGGTTAAAATTCGCCCTCAGTTTAAAATTCTTGTCCTGGCTGAAATTCTTCCCCAGGTAAAATTAGACCCCAAGCAAAAATTATTTTCGCGGATAAAATTAAATCCCACCTACAATTCTTCCCCGGGCTAAATTTTTTCCCTGATTAAAATTCTTTACCTGGCTAAAATTCTACCCTGCTAAAATGGCTTCCCTTTCAAAAATACCTTCCATGGTTGAAAACTCTTCCCTTGGATAAAAATTCTCTCGCTGGCTAAAATTCCTCATGTTAGATTTAAAATTTCTCTCTTGAAAGCCAATTATCTTCTCTTGAGAATAGCTATTCATTTAGGATAAATTTTCATTTTTGAAAAAGAAATTTCCTCCAGACACAAGAATTATTATTATGATGTTGGGCCTGAATAGATAGGTAAGAAATAATAAATAAGTACGGACTCTTATCGTATAACGAACGCAAATGGGCTTAATGTTGTGCAACGAATGACCAACACCTAATTTGAAAATGTAGACACGAAAAAGTCCCAGTGTAGAAAACAGACTACGTAACCATCAACAAACGATTTAAAAATACAGTACTACACTCTAAAACACTCAACCCGTGACTGGAAGTGATCATCTCCTTGTTAGATACAAAACTGAGGGTAAACTTGCAAAAATTAAAGAAGCCCAAAACAAGGCCTTTGCGGCAATACGATAACCTTACTTTAATCTGTTAGCAAAAATATGTAATCCTCTTCCTCCTTCTATGTGCCGTATCTCTTCAGGGTGAGAATGATCAACGTTCTCTCCCTCGTAGCCTTAAACAACGTTTCTCACTTCGCTAATCCACCCAGCCCCTGTTCCGCCGTCCCTTCACACAAGTTTGCCAGGTAAATGGTTCGCTGCCTTCCCCTATCACTCTTACCCTCGATATGTCACATGAGGGTAAAATTTTCCAAGTTTTCTTTCCACTACGTGTGCAAGAACTTTCAGCTGTCTTTTGTCCGATTCAGAATATAACTGTTTTTGTTACCATTTTAGTTATGACTTCGTCGCGGCTTACTCTCCCATCCCATGCAGTCCCCAGTATCCTCCTGTATAACCACATTCCTTTTGCCTCCAATTTCTTCTTCATCTATGGCGAGATTGTCTCATTTCTTATTCTCTCCGTCCATGGTATTCTCATTATCCTTCTGTAGAACCATATTTCTGTTGCTTCCGGTTTCCTATTCGTCTGTGGGGAGATTGTCTCGTTGCTTACTCTCTCTGTCCATGGTATTCTCAGTATCCTTCTGCAGAACCACATTTCTGTTGCCTCCCGTTTCCTCTTCATCTATAATGAGATGGTCTCGTTGCTGATACTCTCCGTCCATGGTATTCTCAGTATCCTTCTGCAGAACCACATTTCTGTTGCTTCCGGTTTCCTCTTCATCTATAGCGAGATTGTCTCATTGCTTCCTCTTAGTGTCTACGGACTTTTCAGTATCCTCCTGTTTGCCTCCAGTTTCCTCTTTATCTATGGTGAGATTGTCCTAGTTAAGAACAAATATGAAAATTGAAAGTGGCCATGAAGCCAAAGCGGATAATATTAAGGGACACG